ACATTGGAACTCCATTGCATGTACGTTTCCCTCCATCCTGGCCATATATCAGACCAGTCCTTCACAGTTGATTGGTCAAATCCTGGAACTCCTTATCTAACAAGTGTGGGAGTTTCTTCAGCATATGGACTGTCCTGGTTCAAATAGACTGACAGCCATGTTCTCAAGAGCAGTTAGGGGGTGACCACAAATGCCAGCCTTGACAGCAATGCCACGTGCAATGAGTAAACAGAAACCACATTTAGAAGACATGATACGAAAAGATATGAAAAAATCATGAGTTGACATTCCGAGCCTGTCTGCTTTGCCTACAGATCAGATTGATTTGATTCAATACGACATTTCATTATGGCTGCTTTTCCATCTGCAGCTGAAGAGTTGATCTTTAATCCTTGTTCTTCTGTGTTTAATAAACAGTCAGACAGTCAACACTTCTACTGTAACACTTACTGTGCACATCTTGATATTCACTGTATGTACTTCCCAATAGCACTGAGGGTGTCCCTACATCTGAAGGACTGCAATTCAGGGCATTTAGAGATGGACATTAAATGCTGGCCTAGTCAGTCATACCCATATTGCATGAATGAACGAAAACAAAATATTCAGCAAATTTTACTTCTTAAATGCAGTGAATTAAATACATTGACTGAATTCCAACCTCTGCTTTCAATATCGATAATAATATTTTTAAAATTTCAATATTCCAGCATAAGATAGCCATCCTTAATTTAAGCCGTCCGCTGGGTACATTTTATATTCACTTTAAATCTGAATTCAAGTCATAATTTATGTTAACAGCAATTATCTTTTTACGTTATGCAAAAACTATTTGCTCCAAATGCATCATACTGATTCATAGCTTCAGTACAATAATTAAACGTCGAATGTATTTTTAACTTAGACGCTGTCTAGAAATAGGGCTGGGTAGTTGTTTTTTAAGTAGCACATTACGTCAACAGTAAAGAACCAGAACAAACATTGACATAAGAAAGAAGAAAGGGAAAAGTCTTAAAAGAGTGATGAATAATGTAAGGCATTAATCAATTGTGCAATTTGTCAAAATAGTTACTTTAAAAAGGTCAAATCTGTCAGATTTTGACACACCTAACTTTGAATGTCATTACATCACACAGGCTGTATAGTGTAAAGATGTTTAACATTCAAAACAATTCTATGTTGTTTTTTTAAAGCTGAGTTCAGTTTGGAAGTAAATATTTTGACAAAAATGTTACAGACCCCTTGAAGGAGTTGCATTCAGTTCCTTTGCCTGCTGCCTTGAATATAGCACATAAATAGGGAAACATGGATATTCGAAATTCGTTGTTTTTGTATTAATAATTAACTCACATCAGCTTCTTTCAGGGATTGTCCACTTTGATGTACCTCTGCTCTGAGCTCTGGCAGGATCGCTGTTGCTGTTTTACCTTTGTCATTGTCATCATTTTCTGCTTCTCTTCACCTGTTTGCAAATCCATCCAGAACTTACTTTCATAATCACACCTATTTCCATAGTAAGAGCCTCAATTTTGACCATACTCCACATGATTGTAACTGAACTACCAAGAATCACACTTCAGATTACTAATTTTACAGATTTCTCCAAGATATTCACACCACTGCTCTTGCTGCTTCCTGAGGGCCATGCTCAATGCCATGCACCACCCCATGCATGCCCTCAAGCTCACTATCAGTACCAACTCACTCTCCTTTAGAGACATCCTGGTCCACAGATCAATTTTTATACTTTTCATCTGGTGTTTTAACTAAAAGCATTATGTTCTTCCATTCTGGTTTCAAAGATCAAAGTTTTAACATCTCATGCTAATGTCCCTCTTGTTGCTTTGACCCCACCATTTTTCCATTCTCACCTATGTTGAATTTTCACCATCCAGTCTGAAGTTGCCTTCTATTGAAACCAAACAATTGGTCCAGAGTTTAATCTGCTAATGATTCTATCACACTGCAATTTGAATGTGGCGTACCACTTGAGCTCTTCTTCCACCATCCTTGCCTCTGTGTTCACTTAGTTGACCAGAAATCTTCCCCACATCCAAAGGACCTTTTATCTTCAGAAAGCTCATTCTAACTGGTTTCCTCACTCTGGCCTCCCAACTTTAGGTTGAGAACTGATGTTATGAGCCCAGCTCAACTTTTATGCTCCCCTCCCTCTCTCTAAGCTACAACTCACAGCACTCGGTTCTCTCAGGTTGGTCCCTAATATTGTCATCCCACCTGCTGACAAATGTGGCACAGTTACTTGGTCTATTGGCTTCTAATTAACAAAGGTTGAATGTCAACTCTCTGATATCTCTCAGCAGCCAATATCAAGCTATCATTTCCAATCAGTTTTAACATCTGTCGAAACTTCTCCACAGCCTCCAAACTTACAGTTTCTCATAGCAGAGTCTGCTTCTAAATGTTTCACTAACAGGATTGCTGTAATGGTCATTGTTTCATCCTGTTCATTCCTACTTGGAACTGACTTCTTACTTTCTCAATTTTATTTTATCTCCTCTTGTCCAACATCTGCAACTCCTCCCATGCCCTGGGGCTCTTTCACGATTTCTAGTGTCGTGGTGCTTACCATCTTCTCTTCAGCATAGACACCCAATCTCTCTAAATATTCATCTCCCACAAGGACATTTTAAAAATTCTTCCTAGGGGTTTTGTTCAGTACCAGCTGTCATCAGTCTCCTGCTGGCTGAAACTTTTTCACATTTTACAGATTCTCATTTGACTGTTTTCATTTCCTCCAATTAAAATGATTTTTTAAAGATGTAACTTTTTGTCTTACTCTCACCTTCACATGGGTCATCTTTGACTCGTCTCTTCCTTTCCTTGACTTCTCCATCTCCATGTGCAAGGATAGACTATTGCTGAATATTGATCATAAACTGACTTATTCCCTTAGCTACCTTTACAACAATCCCTCACACTTGACTTCAATAAGGACTCTATTCAAGTCTTCATGTTTCTCAGTATGAGGCATGTGTTTTGAAAACACCAGTTTCTAAATTTCTTCTGATAGATCTTCCCTATTCCTCATCCAAAGATTCTGCTCACTGGGGTTAATATGGTCCTCAACTATGTCCATTCCATATCCGTGCAGTTCTACTCACTGCTTCCCCTCCCTCTCAGATCCAAGAATGAGTTCTCCTTGTCCTCACCTCGCAACCCAGCCCACCCCACTTTCAATGGATCATCTTTCACTATCTCTAATGTAATGTCACTACCAAGTATTACCTCACACTCTCCTTTCAGCATTCCATAAGGACCATTCCATCCACTCCAATGATCCATTCCCCCATCATATGCATTCCCTTTTCAATAGTACTTTGCATGCAAGTTGAAACACCTGACCTTTTACCTCTGTCCTACCCATCACCCAGAAACCTTGAACATAGCTTCCTGGTGAAGCAGCAATTTATTTGTATTTCTTTCAATGTAACATTCAGTACTCACTGCACACAATGCAGGCTTTACTGCCACGGGAATACAAAATACAGATTGAGTACTTTGAGAAACCCTTCAGTTTTAATCCGCAAGCATGACTGTGAGTTTATTGTTGCCTGTTATTGTAATTTTCTGCTTCATTCCCACTGAGATCTCTCTGTTCTTAGTTACATACAGTGTTCAATGAACAGCAACATAAGCTGGAAGAACAGCCCCTCATCTTTCAAAGAGACACTTTACAGCCTTCCGGGCTCAACACAGTTCAGCAATTTCCGATCATAATCTCTGGCCCTGTGTTATTTTCATGGCAGCTACTGGTGATGGTTCTGGTATTTCTATTCACAACTCATCTCACCCCAGCTATTCTTTCTTTATTTGACCCATTATCATCAACTTTGGCCTTGTGGCAATTGTATTCTAATTTCTCCTGCCTCCATCCTTTGAGGGATCTGCCCTATTGTTCTTTCCACTCATTTCCCTTTCCCTGCCTTTACACTTACTTAAAACCTGTTATTATTTCAGTTCTGAAGAAAGGCCTTAGACCAGAAACATCAATCCTCCTTCTCTCTCCACAAATGCTGTGAGACCTGCTGAATATTTTCTGCATTTTCCATTCGTAATTCAACGTATTTGGGGGTGCAGCAATGACCTAATGGTATTATCGCTGGCCTGTAAATCCCAAGACCAAGATAACGTGTCAGGTTTGAATTCCGCCTAGGCAGATGGTGGAATCTGAATTCAATAAAAAATATCGGCAATTAGGAATCTAGGAATAACCATGACTCTGTCGCCGATTATCGGAAAAGCCCATCTGGTTGACTAATGTCTTTTAGGGAAGGAAACAGCCATCCTTTCCTGGTCTGGCCTACATGTGACTCCAGACCCACTGCAATGTGGTTGACTCTCAACTGCCCTCTGGGCAACTGGGATTGGCAATAGGTGCTGCCTAGCCAGCGACTCCCTCATCCCGTGAATGAATAAAGAAAAAACAAATTTTTCCAGTCTCTTAGTAAAGAAACTGCATTTCGCATTTTTCTAGGCTCCAAGCCAGTTGATAAATTGGCTGCGAGATGTTGGAATGTCAACAAAGTTTGGAATCTGTTGTATTATTCATTTAGATTTAAAACTGGGAAACTCCACTATACTGCAAATGCTGGAAATTTAGAAAAACAACAAAATGCTGGAAATGTTCAGAAGTTGAAGTAGCATCTGCAGAAAGAGGAATGGAATTAGAAAATTCCAGGTATGTTCAGTTGAAGGGCTACTGGTCTGAAACTTTATGTTTTGCTGTCCACAGATACTGCCCAAGTATTTGCAACACATGTTGTTCGGAACTCAATTATTAACCTGATATGTCAGCAACTTGTGCATAAATAATCCAGGGATATGATAGTGTTAAACCTGCACATTGGAAAATAAACCTGCAATAAGATCCTTCAAGCGTACCTCTACAGTATATATGTGTAAGAAATGTTCAAAGACTCTGTATTGGCAGAATTCTTTATATACTGTATATATATTGGCCAGTGCCAACTTCAGATGTACAAAAACAGCAGTCAGAAGAGAAGAAACATCAACTGAAGGTCTCTAATACAGACAAGACTTGCACTGTTCTCTGAAAGACTTTAATATAAATCAGTTTCACTGATATGAATCTTTGTCGCAGTGATAACCACCAAATAGGAATATTATCTTGTTAAAATTGTAGCAGTCTCAGTGATAAGGACCCTTGCAAATTCTCTGCCACCACGCCTCCCATGACTTGCCTTCTAGAATTGGAATTTACAATGTATGAATGCAACCTGCTTATCATGCTGGTTAATACCATAATCCTCTTGTTATTGTAGGGTCACCAAATACTGTGCAATCGTTCCCGTTGAATGTAGCCCATTTGTCTTGCCATTACATAGCCTATTGCATATTAGACATTTTTCGTGTTAACGCATCCCAGCAAGTCAGTGCTACCTTACCATGCAAACACAACTTAAAAAGTTTTTACAATCTCTTTAGCTGCAAGTGTTCTTGCCACCAGTTCCCATGAATACATTGTTCCTTCAGCAGTTTGGACCTCTGATCAATTCTTTCATGGTTTGAGCGCTTGCACTCAATAATTTTCCCAATGCCTTTTGGTATATTTCCTTTTCCCAATTTCACAAACCAATAATTCCTCATTTTTAATTCTCAGTGCTACTGTCCAGTGTCCTGTGGGTTTCACCAGCAAATTTGGGGGTGATACTATTTTTCAAAAGTGACATTAGCTATTGTTGATTTGTGCACTTGGGATGAGCAATGGCCAATGTGACAGAAGTGAATATATTTCCTCTTTGTTTCCACTCACTGTCAGTATTATTCAGTCCCCAGGTTAAATACACAAACAGGAAGTTGGAACACAAGCCTCCCTCGACATCCTTCCAACAACTGGTCTGAATCGTGACCACTGAAGGGCGTACCCAGATGCACTACAGCAATGTTTTCCTTTTCACACCAACTCAGAATTCTACTTAAGCAGATGTGAATGCCATGGTATGGGCAAGGTTTTGTACTGTGGGTCCTGCTTACTGAAAACCCAACCACGCTGTATAAAACTTATTCTATGTAGGCCTCTTACAGCCATTTCAGAAAGAGACAGACAGACATACAGAAAGAGAGAGAGAGAGGAGATACTTTTTACATTTGGCACTTCTGTTGTTCTGCTTGTGTATTTGTGTCAGTAATACCACATTCTTTTGTACAGAAGGACAGGTTGGGGATGTTGAGGGGAGTGTTTCATCCTGTTCAGCTTGGCTGTATCCATGTCCCCATAGGAAAGGGATACATTAATTGCACCGCCCAATTCCCAGTACCAATGGTTCATTGTAATGGACAACTTGAAATCGCTGGGGAGTCGAATAATTTCAAATGCTGACTGAACTCAGCACTTTCTAGACCATTTCCCTTGCAGGTTCAGATTTTTGGAATTCTCACAGTTTTGTGTGTAAATCTTATTCTATTCAAACAAAAAATCTACTTTCTAAGACCAGTGACAAATTTAACAACAGTCACAATGCCTCAATAAAATGTATCACATCAAGAATAAGCCACTGGTAAGTATCAGATTGGAAAGATAATTCCAGTGAAATTGAAGGATGAAACTTTCACGGACTCATAGGTCTGGCATTTTGTCCTGGTGAAGTGCAGTTTCCTAATGAAACAAAAGTTAAAAAATGAGTACAAATGACAGCGGGGTGCTTACAGCAGCATGCTTCTTGAGTCAGACCAGAACTCTCTTCATGTCGTTCTTTCACTCAGATGCATTATAAAGAATTTGTGCACAAAATATATTAGACTGCAGCTTCATTTAAAAACAGAAGAAAATATAATTGGTCCACCGTGACAACATAAAAGAACACAAGAGGAATGTTAATGCTTGCTAGTGCTGAGACCAGACAGCAGGATTCAAATATGCCCTTGGCCTGGCTTTGTCATCCCTTGTACATAAGAAGTAAAGTTGAAGTTAAAGACAATGTTCCTGCCAAATGGCACTGTGCAATTTCAAAGCCTCGTTTGGGCTTCAGGGATGTAGATTTCGATGCTATCTGCACTTTCTGTGGCAGAGTTTTGCCGATATGAAGCTGCTCGCTTGGCAGCCATTAGTCGTTTTCTTGCTTCCTGCCTGCGTCTGTCTGCAAGTTCCAATGATTTCTCCCGCGCTGCAGGTAACCTTGCCTTCGACGGTTTCTTTGGTATAGGAGGGGGGATCTTCACTTCATCCTATTAACAAAAACAGTTGTTTAACGAATCACTAAAGTACAGTTATCTGCTTACTTCTTCATTTTCACCTCCTCAAAATGGCCTTATCTTCATTCTTAGCAAACATTTTCACTCCTCGAAGTACTAACCCATGCTGCAGCAAGATTACACATGTGCTGCTTGCACTCCAGCATCTCCCCAATTGCACTTAGATATGCCATTGACCATCACATCTAAAATGGCCCCTGCCCCTTTCTGACACCCATACACGGGCACTTTCAACAAAGTATTTTATAAAGGCGAAACGTGATGGATCTGGGACACCTTTAGCTTTGCCAAATTTTACTGAGCATGATTGCAGGATTCCTTCTGTTTTCAACCAGTTCAGCAAGATCCACAGAGCCTACAGGCTGAATTTGTGGTTTTAATAAAGTGTACATTTGTTGTCTATGATAGTAAGGAAGCTTAATTTATACTGTGCTATAAGTGGGTTATGTGTAAATATTTTATTTATTTTAGAGTTTGTGTTTTGGTTTTGTGTGTACGGGGTGGAGGGGGTTTAATGATTAACTTGTCAGTATTTCTGTTGCCACGGCTTTTTGAGACCAGTATGATGGATGGTGCTAATGTGAACTTATTTGCATTGGGAGAGTTTTACCAGTGGACAGAATAAACATTGAAAGTATTAACCTCATTTCAGTTTGTAGGAATAGACTTCATGGAAACATCACAGCTGGGGAGAGCTTTTCAGTTCACAGGTTTCCTGGTTGAAGTTAGATGTATAAAACAGTTTCTCTGCTTTAGGGTTAAAAACAGATGTGCAACTTTGCATGCTTGTGTTTCAGAGAAAGGTCACCTAATTAAATATTTTTTAAAAAATTTAAAAAGCTTGGTTCAGTCTGGGAACTGACCTGTCCAGTAATAAATTCATCTGGGACCACAGCATCACTTGTTTAAAACCTTTACCCGAAGTTAACTGTTCGGTTAATAAGCCTTGGGACTAATAGTAATTCCTTTACATTGGAATAGAAACCATAACAGGATATCCACTATCTTTTCCTATTTTGTCTAAAAGACAGTAAATATTATACCATGATGCAGATGCATTTTGGCTAAAACTAGTAGTGGGGCATATATTGAATAAGACAATACAAACAAACTAACAAGAAACTACTGTTGATATTGGTGAATAAGTTGGTTTTTGAAGCCTTGAAAAATCCCTCCAAAGTGTGGGGTCAACTTATACTTCAATGATAAAAATGAACTGCCAGCATGAGTGTGGATGATCACCACCTTTGTTGTTCAACATGTGCTTTGTGTGGACATGTCTTAAACTCCAACACATCTTCATAACACAAGGGTGGCACAGTGGCTCAGTGGTTAGCACTGCTGCCTCACAGCGCCAGGGACCTGGGTTCAATTCCACCCTTGGGTGACTGTCTGTGTGGAGTTTGCACATTCTCCCCATGTCTGTGTGGGTTTCCTCCAGGTGCTCCGGTTTCCTCCCACAGTCCAAAGATGTGCAGGTTAGGTGGTTTGGCTGTGCTAAATTGCATGTTGTGTTCAGGGATGTGTAGATTAAGGGGATGGGTCTGGGTTGGATCCTCTGTGGGTCAGTTTGGACTTGTTGGGCTGAAGGGCCTGTTTCTACACTGTAGGGATTCTATGAACTTCTATCACCTGTTTGATCCCAGATTCCAGTGAGTAAATGTTCATTTGTAGGGTGACAAATTGAGGCTGCCTACAAATGAGACTATAGCATATCATGGTGGTAAAGAGAAGGTGATTTATACACTGAGTAAAGCAAAAAATATGATTTTATGGGTTGAGAAAATGTTATCCCATTCATTATGATCAGTGGCAATAGTACATATGAATCAAAAATGAAATCAGTCCATGAAAAATGTTAAAACTAAGCTTACACTGCTTCATAAACAACTAGCTTTCCCCACGTGTTCTCATTAGCAAGCTAATTTCTATACTACCATGAAATTTGCTGTTTAGATACATGAGTAATATGTGATGTAGATTAAGTGCAGTATGTTTGGAACATAAAAGCAACTTTGCATTTTTGATTTCTAAAACTTTCTGTCATTGGGGTTTAATTCACATTATATAGTCTAATGACTCTTGTGAGTCAACATCTTCATTATGGGCTCCCATGATGGTATAATGTAGGTGAGATGAACTTTGGTCTTGTTTAGTGTTGTAATTCCCAAGTTTCTATGCTCCTAATTCAAATTAATCAACAAGGATATTGAAAGACGATTAAATGAAATGTGATGAAGATTACATTATTATTATTTGGAAAGTTAGGTTTTAAAGTACAGGAATTATGTATAGCTTTTTTCTTATTTCTATATTATGAGCATTAAGAATGTTATAGACCAGATTAAACCCCCTCAAAATATATTAAGAAGATAGTCTAGACCCTAACTTTTTCTTATTTTAAAGGTAAGTGTAAGGCAGTGTTCCAGATGCAATTCGACTGGTCAAACTACTCAACTTGAAACAAAACATACTTTATTTGTACACATTACACGCTTTATTTGGACAAAATAAAAATAAAAGAATTTGGTTCACAGTAACTCCAGCAAAATGTTTAACAAAATAGAGGAGGATAAGAAAATCTAGGGATGGAAAAGATATTACTTTTCGGGAACAAACAAAAATACACCAAAATATTAAAGGAGAAAGGCGAGAACGTAAAAGTAATAGAGAGAACATAACAAGCTTCCATTATAATGAGATTAGTCATACTAAAGCTAACTGCAGAAAATTAAATGGACTCCTATTGCAGTATTAGGAACACCAAAAGAATCCATCAGGAAAGGAAATGGGTATTAAAAGTGTAGCAGAGCTACATGTGAAGTGTATTTCCTCAGGACCTATGAGAGAGGAGAGATGGCCCAGGATAGTCAAAAAAATTCTTTCTTGATTATTGATAAAGAGAACCAGACTACAGGAGGTTCTGAATAGCTTGTCTCAAAGGTAGAGTACTTATTTTTTTTTTAAATAAGGTGGTAAACCAATAAAGTTATAGATAGACACTGGAGCAAGTCAGTTGTTGATGACACAATTTGTCTTTTAGATGGGGCAGTGAAGGAAAAAACATTAACTGGTGGAATACAGAGGTTACAAACTGATCTCATTGTGTAGGATTGAATTAAAGAGTAACATGGTAAGTGGAGGGGGTGCATTTGAGATAGTAAAATTAATTGCTTAGGAGTAATTATTATCTGAAGGAATAAACTGGAAGTTCAAAAATAATAGTCTCAATGAGGGCGTTGGAATAAACATTGAAAGTAAAAGAAACAGCTATGGTACAGGAGCAACATTTTGGATTGTTTCCAGTCTGTGCTGTGACTGGATCTTAGGCCCATAGAATTAAACAGGAAGCGGAAGAGTCTACACAAAGCAGAGATGACATGTAAATTCAGTTATCTGACACTATTTTCAAAACTTAAGAAGAAAAAGGAGGAATATAAAGTGAATAAGGCTGTCATGTTTAGTCCATCTTCATTAATAGAAATTCAAAAGATGTATCCTAAGTTGAAAGACTTATATTAAGCGGCCTACTTAGAAATTGAATAAGGACCAATATATCAGGACCTGGATGTTATCACCTAAAAGGCAAAGTGATAATGGGGAAATTGAGATCACCTCATTGAGGAATGGACAGTTGTTCATCAGGTGATTTAGAGAGTAACACAATTTGTCCTTTTTTTTCATTTGTGTAAGAAATGTTGATATTTTTTTAAAAGTACATTGAAGCCCCTTGTGAATATGTTCAGTGACTGACCACCATAGTAAATAAAGTTCATTGTCTATCAAGTCAGGCCTCACTTTCGGAAATGACTTGTTCAATGTTCCCAATTAGCTGGTATCGTGACAAAATGACTGAATACATAGCTGAGAACTAATCAGTCAAATTCACAGACACAATGATTGTAGATGTCAATATCTTGGGGCGTTGGGTTATTTCTGTAACAGAACCCACTCTGACTTTTCTGTGATTCATTCCTATACCCTGACTTTTCTTTTGCACCTATTTGTTGTTTGAATTATCCAAGTCCTGGGTGTGGATCTCTCTCTAGCTCTCTCTCTGTCTATCCAAATCCAAACTTCCCACTCACATAGGCTTGTTACTTTGAAAGATTAGCTAAAATTGTTTTAAATAATTAACAATTTTGTTAAATCTAAGATACTCCCCCAATGTTCTGATTAATTTACACATCAACAAACTGCCCTGCCTTTTGGAGCTAAAATAAGTTCCCATTTCTGTTTTGAAATTAAGCAGTGAAGAATATTTGAATCAAATTCCTTCAAAACTCAATAAAATGCAAATGTCTTCCACTATGGTAGCTCATTGCTGCTCTGGGAAAATGGCTTTTCACTGTATATGTATACAGTGCTAACAAGAACCTGTCCTGTAATAATGTCAACACGCCAAGCTAGTTAAAACTCTCCATTAGTTACGTGAAGACTTTCAACTATTAAATGTGTTACAGTGTCTTGTGGTATGTGATATGTGGTATGGGTCATACTGGGGATATGAGTATGGCTTAAGCCCTGTTTCGTTGTTTGCATTTGTCCTTCACATGAGCTTCCCCACAGCCCAGTGACAGGACTGAATGTTTCATAGGTCTTTACCGGGAGACTGCACAATTTGAATTACTCAGGTCCTCCTCAGAATAGGCTAATTTCATAATGCACAGCAATAACCTCTTGAACAGTCAGGGCATACAGGTTGAATTCATTATAGAAGTGACATGAACCCCCATTATCAAGTGTCCTGAGGAGCCACTAAAATTTGGTTCTCCTTTAATTACACCTCTATGATTGTTTGGGTGGGCAGCTGTATCAGGAGCTCACAGTGTGCTTCTGATGCTTGGCTCAATGAATCAGGTATCAATTGGACAGGACAGAACTATTGACTCGCCATCAGTTGATTTAATTTGATTTATTATCATCACATGTACCTAGGTGCAGTGAAAAGTTTTGCTTTGCATGTAGTACAGGCAGATCACACCATACAAGGTGCATTAGGATAATAGAACAGAATGAGGAATACAATATTTCGCTGCAGAAAAGGTGCATGAAGAGCAAGGTCGACATTAAATTCGAAATTTGAGTTAGTTGATTGCTCAGAACACTGTAAAGCATTAAGCAAATTTAGCTATCTGACTAAGGGACCCAGCCTTCAAATTGCTTGAAACCACTTTCTGAAAATGATTTCAATATTAATTCATCATTCCCCATCTTCTAACTGTAATTTTAATACTACCACTGAATCTATGTAATTACAATCCTGAACTGCCAGTAACATTTTCAATTATTCAATTAAATGCTTTTGGTACAAAGTCAAATGAAGCAAAATTACTCACCTCACCATTATCACAATCCACATCTGTAGTAATGAGAATGCCTGAAGCTCTTTACAGGTAAATGTGATTATCTAGCTTTGTGCCAATCTTTCTTTTGTCCAAGTCAAGTGGTTCATAATATTGCAATAATACATTCTCTGGGTCATTTTTTTTTGGCATAAGCTTATAGTTAATAACAATATTCTGTATGCATAAATGAGCTAAATTAACTATACCCTCCAGCATGGCTTCATGCCAAATAAATATCTCTCTGCCATGCTGTTCCTTTTCTCCCTTCTTGGTTGGTACCATGACTCCCTGAGTTTAAGCTGCATTGCTCTGTACCTGTGTTATCAATTCCTATTCTTACTCCTTGCTGTACTAAGGAATGAACTCTATTCTCAACTACTCAGTGAAATTGAACGAGCATTTGTGGAAACATTAAGTGCCATAGGCTTGCAGTTCAAAAATGATGAATCTTCGTTTTAAATATTATTGCAAAATATTTAATTAATGTCACTACTGCCTATTGGTTCTGATTGTGGAGGTACCTGGTCAAATACAAATGCAGATGTGATTAGCGTGTGTAGCGCATCCATAATTTTACAATCTTTACTTTCCACGAACCAGGTAGTACACAATGAATGGTAGAAGCAAGGGTACCAACAATGAAAGCAATGAAAATAAAAGCAAGTATTAAGGTTTCAACAAAAGAGACAGGCAGCCCAGAAGCAGTAAAACAGAAAGAAAACAGGGGAGGAATCTGAGCTCAACTTTTAAGATTGTGAACCTCTGGATTAAACTCTTGAAGCAATGAGAAAGGAAGATGCTGTGATATGTTAAATGTTTGTAGCAACCCAGGAGAACTGGCATTAGTGTGGCAAAAATTAAACTGAAGAGTTTTTTTTTAGATCATCAAGATCTTATTGTCAGATAGTTGGAGATGGTAAGAACAGATACAGGATTAATGAAGGGATGGAAATGTAGAGGCAGATGTCATCAGCAAACGTTCCAAAAGTGAAATCATGATCACGATATCAGTTCCTATGGTAGTATGTAAGTGTATGGATAGAAAAATAGTTTTAACAGCTCCTCTTATGATGCAGTATCATAACACAACAGAAATAGAACACAACCGAAATAGAACACAACCAAGGTGATCGCTTGAGGCAAGTAGCTGACAGTGTCAAAGATAGTGCAGCGATACAGGAGGATAAAGAAAGTATAACAAGGTCACTGGGAAATTTGAAAATGTGCTATCAATGTTGTGGGTGGGGCAGAAACTGACCAGAAGATTCTGGTGGTGCAGAGACATTTAAGAGCAAGTTAAAATATTCTATAACTTCAGCAAGTAAAGAAACATTTGATATTGGATGGTAGTCAATTAAAAAAATGAGCACAGGGAGAAATGGCAATGTGTTTGAAATGTATAAAGACTGAGCTGGAGGAGAGGAATGGGTTGATAATCTCAGTCAATGTGGGACCGTGAAATGGAATTTGGATAAAAAGTGTCTTCTTCAGGAGAAAGGAACGGTCTTCACCTAACTGATACCTAGCATCCGATGAAATACATTTTCATCCACCACCACCATTCTGTGCAAGCCCCAATGGAACAATATAGTTCAGTGAGCTAACTTCAAATTTATTATCCTTTCTTCCAAATCCTAATATAACTTTCCTTTCCCCTGCTTAGGTGATCCACTTTTTGCTTTATACTCCTGTATTCCCCTTCATCATCTCTCTCATTGGTTTCTTTTTGTATCTCATTCCCTCTGTTGTACCAATGGCTAGTGCTCATTCCACACCTAAAGATTTGCCCTCTCCGGAGCTTCAATACTTATTCAATCGAATTTTCCTCTTCTCGTTTGAAAGCTTCCTCAAAATCCGACTCTTCAATCGCATTATTGATCCCCTCATGCTCATGCTCTCCGTTTTCCTTTACCCTGTTGGGTTGTAAACTATCTTGTGTTACTTAATGTAAGGTATTTTTGAGATATATCCTTGCATGGAGCAGCATTACAATTGTTGTTGATCTTCATGTGAAGCACCATTAAACATTGTTGTTTAATGCCTGTAGTATTTTCCATTTTTAACTGTTTTAAAACAAACCTCTCCTTTTTTCAGAGTGGAGATATTGCTCTTTATGGTAATTTCACACTGCTAGATATTATACTCATTCAGGGGTACATGACACAAGGCACATATATCCCATCTCATTTTCTCTCTAAGCATTGTTCTGTTATTCCCTTACGACAAGGTGCAAGCTTTAACCAAAAGCTGTCTTACAACTATGGTTTCAATTTAAAAGCAAATTCATGATGAACGTTAACAATGTGGTTATAGAATTTTCTCATCAAAAGTACTTTCATGACCACTTAAAAATTCAGTAAAAAAAAGCAAAAAACTGAGAACAGCACAATAGTGAATGTTGGTGGACATGTGCGGGCCTACCTTTCTGTCTGAAGCTTCTAGCAATTTCCAATTATTGGCTTTTATCTGCAAAAGCTCATCAAACTTCAAAGTCACATCTTCAACCGACAGCTGCAAGAGATCCCAGAATCCTGCAAGATCCTGGGACGTAGGCAAAGGAAAAGCATTCGGATCCTGAGAGCACAAAGTAGGCAACAAGAAAGAAATTACAATTACAACTTATAAATAAGAACATCGATGAAGCAAGATGTCCCATTGTTGAATCCTGATCCTGAAAGCCCTGCCAATTATTTTGTGGGCGTATAGGGGGATGGAGTTGCTTTTAATTTTTATTTATTTGTTCAACGGATGTAAGCATCACTGAATCAGTCAGAATTTATTGCCTATCCCTAATTGCCTTTGACGAGATAGTGGTGAGCTGCCCTCTTGAACCACTGCAGCTCATGTGATGTAGGAGGCGCACGTGCTGTTAGAGATGGAGTTCCAAAATTTTGACCTAGCTATACTGAAAGAATTGGCAATATATTTCCAAGTCAGGATGGGGGTGTGAGAACTGAAGAGAAGTATGCAAGTGGTGGTGTTCAGGAAAAAAACAGTTTATTAATTTGTGTTTTCACCTCCCTGTCCTGAAGAAACAAATCACGCATTTATTGGGACATGGATAAACATCAAGCACCATGTTCAAGTAACTATCCTTGCTCTTTCAGGCAAGGCCGTGAATGTAAGCAGGACTTTTGCCTCTTTGGAACATCATGGGGATAATTTTCACATCAGTGGGGGAGGTCATTAGAAAGTTTGCCAGATCACTGCCTGCCATTTCTCCTGCTGACAGTGACAATTATCTTCCCACTGTTCCTACTCAACATCCACATTATGGTACTTTCCAACAGGGTCCATTATCACTTGATATATTTTTTATTCCCCTTGCCTGAAGCTATTGAAACTGATCTGGAGAGTGCTCCTGCTTGCTTTGCTGAGGTCAGTTGGTTATAAGATTGAACGCAATGGTTTCTGGATTAAAGCAATCAATTCATGCTCAGATTTCCCTATTATTTCTAATTATGAAATTAAAAACAAATTTTATCCAAGTGTCTGTACAGAGAATGGGACGATATTTTCAGGCTTGTGAAGGTGGCCAAGGAGGGTGATTGCTAAGGGGGGAAGTGACGGGGCGGGGGGGGGGGGGAACAAGTGAATTCTGAAAAGGTTTGGGCAAAAGTAGAGGTGACCTGCTTATCGACCTTTTTTAAAATTAAGCCATTGGATACGATGCAATGGTGCAGAAAACAGTCCAAAGCTGGGAAAATTCAGCAGCAATGTGTCTATTCTGAAAAAAATGGTGCAAATGGGAAAATAAATTCTAAATTCAAAACTATCACAATGCACAGACATGGTCCTTGCATATCCTTTAGCCGATGATTTTAACCTTGGCAGGCAATAGTGCTGGGGAAAGATTAAAATAGTGACCAGGCAGATGGCACTGCATTCCTGCAACTTTCCCAACCTTCACAGTTCAATTACTGACCTTTCCAAAGGTTGGGGTGGCCTGTTGCCAAAAAGGGTGTTGTGTAATGGAGTAAGGGTCTGAAAGGGTTAATGCTGAAGAATGCCTTAAGCACCAACTACTTGATAACATCATTTGGACTTAGTGGGGAGAACTCAGGATCTTAAAGGAGTAAGACGTACTCCCTGGGTCTTCCTCAAAGTCTTTGTAACAGTATCTAACATATTAGTGTTATTTTTTACCGAGCTGTGATCAAGCAAATACTACGTCTTGTTTAAGAAAAGAACCTTATCTCATTAGACTACCTAATGGTTTTTCCTCAATTCTGGTCACCCTGCTACAGGAAAGATGTTGTGAAACTTGAATGGGTTCAGAAAAGATTTACAGGGATGTTGCCAGGTTAGAGAGTTTGAGCTATAGGAGAGGCTGAACAGGCTGGGACTATTTTCCCTGGAGTGTCGGAGGCTGAGGGTTGATCTTATAGAGGTTTATAAAATAATAGGGTGAAAGAATAGGGTGAACAGCCACGTCTTTTCCCCAGGGTAGGGGCGTCCAAAACTAGAGGGGATAGATTTAAAGTGAGAGAGGAAAGATGTGAAAGGGACCTGAGGGGCAAACTTTTCACACAGAGGGTGGTGCGTGTTTGGAACAAGCTTCCAGAAGAAGTGATGGAGGCTGGTACAATTACACCATTTAGAAGGCATCTGGATGGGTATATGGACAGGAAGGGTTTAGAGAGATTTGGGCCAAATGCCGGCAAATGGGACTAGATTAATTTAGGACGTCCAGTCGGCATGAATGAGTTGGACTGAAGGGTCTATTTCCATGCTGTACATCTTATGACTCTATACTAGACTCTGTAGCTTCCTACCAGGGAGGAGGATGGTGGTAGTAAATCTACCTGATAGCTCAGACAACATGTTGAGCAGTGCTGAGGTTTTATCTTCCCATATGGTGACAAAGTTGTGGTGTCCTTTCAGCTGCCTCCTACAAGATTGGCACAGCTTTAAGGAGGCTGCTTGTGCAGGCATTCAGTGGCTTGAAGAGCTGAACGTTCAAGGGCTTTAAGGAAGAAGATAACTTTGTGGCAAGTGTCAATGTGGCAAAATCGACAGTCAATGGTAAGAAGTACTTCAGATCTGGTAAGAGATTTGTAGCTCCAAGAGTGAGCTAGCGACTCCATAGGGCAGGAGGACTACTCACTCCAAGGCAGTTACATATTATGTTGGCAGCTGATGGTCTGTAGGAATGGTCCAGAGTCAAGGTTCAGTCAGAGAGTGACAGAAATTAGAGGCTCTGTGAGTAAAGTTGAAGTCAGCAAGGGAAAATGTTAATAAATGGCTCAGTTTACAGATTGGGAGAGCTAAACAAATACACACAGCTCAGATTAAGTATCACTGTACAATGAGTGGGCACCACTAGGCACAGCTAAACAAAGTGAAATAAAGGGTCACAGAAGCAACTGAAAATAAGGTCACAGACACAGGAATGTTGCAAAGCCAGAATTAAAGCGATAAAGAGGCAACTTAGAAACCAAAGCACATAAAGTCCAACTGAAAAGACAGTTAAGAAAACTTCTGAGGCTGCAGAAAAAGCAGCATATTCATTAATTAAATCATGTTAATGGCAGAAAATGTTTATTTAAAACACACAGCAGGACATATCCAGTTAATAAAAAAAAGTCTGTTTTAAACAATGGGAATTATTCTTTAGACTATCCAGGAAAAACATTGAAAGAAACGGGATTCATTTGGTAAAGCAGTTAAGAGAATGGGAATCACTGTTGAAGCTGCAGGCAGCATGGTTCATTTAGTAAAACCATTAAGGAAAATTGGAATTATCTTTAAGGCTGTGATTAGTGAATCTATCTAGAGAAGCTGTAAAAAAAGTATAAATGCTCCATTTTACTCATAAAAGATTGGATTTCCCCATTTTGACTGCTGGAAAGCAAAAATAACCTTCAGTATATCAGTACACAGCAGTGGCAATGTTATACTGCAAAATAAAAATCCTTCAAAACATTGTTTATTTCCAATCACATTAAGAAGACATTGCATCAGAAATAATATTGCCAGGAAGAGTTATTTGCAGAGAATGGGCAAAATAAAACAATTGGACATCTTGGAAAAAGCAGTTCTTAAGATGCAAAGTAGATTGCAAAGCAGAAGCAATCAGAAACTGAACAACTATGTACAATAAGAAGTTTGATATTTCAGCTCACCAAGATGTTAAGGAAGCAACAGGTAATTTTGAAGAAGTTCTGAGAGCTTTTGATAATTATTAAAACTTTAGAACAAATTAATTATTTCAATAAGCAAGGTTCAATAAAAAGAGTTCAGCATCCAAGGGAATCCAGAAATAATTTCATCAATTGTTTCAGAGATAGTAGGAACTGCAGATGCTGGAGAATCTGAGATAACAAGGTGTAAAGCTGGATGAACTCAGCAGGCCAAGCAGCATCAGAGGATCAGGAAAGCTGACGTTTCAGGCCTAGTTTTTTCTGAAGAAGGGTCTAGGCCCAAAACGTCAGCTTTCCTGCTCCTCTGATGCTGCTTGGCCTGCAGTGTTCATCCAGCTGTACACCTTGTTATCTCATAATTTCATCAATGATGTGTAAAGATTAACAGAAAAATATGACTATAAAGATTTCAAATCAGAATTCAGATACAGAATTGTTGGAATTTCTGATGAGTCTTTGTCGGGTTTATGACAGTCCAAAGAAGATTAAATTCTAGAGGAAGGCATTCAAAGTTGACTGAAGTAGAATTCCGAAACAGCACAGACCAGTGCTAAGAGGATAAGTTCAATCTTATCACAAGATGATCAGCAGAATTCACTCAGTACTTAAACTACAAAGACTTGGAAAATTTGGATATGGCAAACTAAAGTCATTGCATTCACTATCTTATCAGCTATCTCCTTTAGAATCCTAAGGTGTAGGTAATCAGGTCCAGAGAACTTTCCAATTTCAGTCCCTTAAGTTTCTCCAATTCTTTTTCTCTGTTGATATGATTAGTGACATTTCCCTACTTTTTTTATTTCCTAGATTTTCCAAGATTGCCTCAATTTGGGAGTCGTCCCATTAGATTGAAAGTTGGCAAATGTAATACCATTTCTCAAGAAAGGAGGGATAGAGAGAACAGGGAATCACAGGGCAGTTAGCCTAACATCAGTCATGGGAAACTGCTAGAATCTATTCTTCTTCTTGAGCTCTCTACCTGAAGGCAGGTTTAAGCTAGGTAGTCTCCACCACCTGTATGGCAAAGAGGCATGTCCTGAATCCACCCCAACAAGAAAAGGGATCAAATCTTATGCTGTTTGCACCAACGTGATCAACATCGGCTTTAAGCTAACTGAGCAAACCCAGTCTCCCAAAGTGTCTGAGTGCTGTGGCAACATACACTTTTACATGCATGTCATAGCCTAAGAGAATGGAGTGTGATGGTGGAGCATTCAATTTATTTTCATCACGTAGCTGACCAGAACCTTTCCTGCAGAGGTTCAGGATAAGGGGTTAATCATATAGGATTGAGATGTTAAGAAAATACTTCACTCAAAGGGCTGTGAATCTTTGGAATTCTCTACTTTACAGGTTGTGAACACTCGATTGTTGAACACCTTTAAGATGGATTCAGACAGGTTTTGGTTCCTCAGGGAATCAAGGGAAATGGGAAGCTAATGGGGTTGTGCAATTGAAGCCCAAGGTCACCCATGATGAATTGCGAAGCAGGCTTGATGGGCTGTACAGTCTACTCCTATTTGCTGTGATCTATTTCTCATGCGTTGCATTGTCAAATCTCAGAAGGGTCTGGGTAGACAGTAGCACTGACAGAGCATTTGGCACAAAATGAACTAGCTTGCTATCTCATTAATTAGGTGTGCGTTTGAAGGGAAAGCAGAACTGGGGAAAGATGACAGCTACATAGTGTATGCACTAGAGAAGTTGTCTCAGTGAGACTTGGGTTCAAATCTAGTCTGTATATTGCCACAGAGGAATGCATTGAGGATGCATTAAAGCAGTCAAATAGAAATCATGCTGCAAGCAGTAAACTTCATTGTGTCAAAAGCATAAACATATATCAAAATTTACAGATTAAGAACATTGGACTTGACTTAAAAACAGAAAATGGTGAAAATTCAGAACAGTTCTGTCAACATCTGAGAAAATAATTTCGGCTAATATTACAGGACTGTGGATCAAGATTGTGGTACCTGATGCATAGAGAAATATCTTTCTCTTTCAGATGCAGACTGACCAGAATCTTTGTAAGTTTGTACAATACCTTCTCCCACATCTTCAATAAATTAGTTACCCTATGTACTATACAGTTATCCTCTTTTCCTGTTATCGCTTCACACACTTAACTAATAGAATGGTGAGCTAGTCCAGCTTTCCTTATTATTGACCACATTGAAGTGTACTGGAAAAAACCAGACACACTGAATGTAGACAGTTTAGTTTATCCTTGGGTGCATTCAGTACTTTTGATAATTGTGGTATGTATGCGAGAAGAAGCAAAAAAGTGTCACGTTTGTCACGATTAAGCAGCAAATGCAGAAGTTTAAAGTGGGAGTCTCATTAGTTTAATTCTAAAAAAATTTGAAAAAGAATTATTATTTAATTTTAGAATCCTTTATTTCTTTGCTTGGAATATTTTGTCAAATGATGAACGCTGATAATTTTATTCGGCAAGTGGACTTGGAAGAGTTTTTCAGTTGTTACATGCATGAGGTAATTCACATCATGCACGTGCACTCAAATGCAAATGCGTACTTGAATCTTGCATAGCCTCAATAAATTATTCTTCGAATATAAAGGTACCCTCATCCTGTTGAACTCAGTAACTCCTTGAAGGAAAATTATCCGTGTTGAACAGGAGTAGGCCATTTAGCATCTGAAGCTTTTTCCACCATTCGATCGCTAATCATTGCCTGAGGCAGGACTCTCAGAAGACACTGAAAATTGAAGTCTGCTGTTTTAAAACATAAGTAGAAGAACATGCTTTGAATCATCATTCTTGGAACTGAGTTTTAATAGGTTAGTGTTGGAGAGACTCACTCTTTAGGGCTGGGGGAAATGGTGTGAGATATGTGAAAAGCCGATGCAGCAAAACCCTGGGAGATATAATTCCCCTTGCTGCTCTAAATGAACACGCATGCCCACTGTGATTTACCATATTCTGCTGGCATAGTCGGTAAAACTGTTGGAACTTCTGTGACATGAGAAGCTGGGCACTGCCTACTGCGCTGCGAATCTTCTCAAGTACTGAAACACAAGAGAGAGTGCATTAAATTCTGAATACAATCATTGCACCAAGGCACAGAGTTGTTTATTATAAATAAACAGTGATATTCAGATCACTTCCTAAGCAGGTATAAATTTCCTCATGAAGGGAGTCAAGCAATCTGTTCCCAGGACTCTGCCAATGCCACTCTTAAGCTGCTCTGAAAGGCGAAGTGCCCAGTTTCAGAGATATAGACAGAAGGGCATTGAGTCATATGCTCACTCTGCCAGCTGATGAGCCCTACAAAATGCCAGGAAATTGAAAGAGGGAGCAAAAATAAGTCGAAAGACAAAAAGACTTAAATGGGACAATGTGCATTGGTATTTGAGCACAATAATCAAATCTGTGATTTGAAAGATAAACATCTTTTTTTCATGAGACATTAAAAGTGCCCATTCAATTTATTTTATGCAATGTCTTGTTGCAGTGTGGATGGCATGTTTTGAAAGGGTTGTGGAAGCAGATTCAAATAGTAATTTTCATCAGGAAATCGTTTCTTAGCTTGCAAAGGAAAAGATTGCAGGGAAACAGTGGAAAAGAGGAACTAATTGGATATATCTTTCAAAGAGCCAGGTTTGGTGTCAGATGCTGAATGCCCACCTTCTGTGTTTTATAATGAGGATGTGGACTGAAGCAGAGTGTTAGGCTGACCACATTCATTTACATTTTTGGATTATTCTTTAAAAAAAATACTTGATTAATGAATTTTTCTACAGTTGCACAAACTTGCACTATTTTACTGTACAGTCACTAGAATGGAAAATAAAACTGTGGAAATTCCCTGTTACCTCAGCAAGTTCAGCTACTTACACACTAAGTAAGGTCCTATTTTGGATCTTCAGGCTGAGCAGAGTTAGCAGGCGTCTTGCAGGGTTACAGCTGGGCTTACTTCCCACTCTCGGGAGAGACCAAAATCATTGCCTTTGACTGTAAACAGAAGTCAGGAAAGGTTGTGTGGTGCTCGCACACACAGCCAAACTGCCTGTCAACATTTGTTGCAAAATCTCACACATGAGCAGTAACCGCTGGGTAAGGTGACTGGACGGTGAATGGAAATTACGATGGCAATCTGCAACTTCAGAAAAGGGAGAGGAGAAAATGGCATGGGAGACTTTCTAGCTGATTCATATTTCCTTAGTAACCTTTCTTCAGTTTAATTTTATTCATTCACAGAATGGGGGCTTCACTGGCTGGGTTAACATTTATTTTTCATCCCTAAAAGCCCCATGGGCAGCTAAGAGTTAACCACGTTGCTGTGAGTCTGAAGTCATGTGTCGGCCAGACCAGGGAAGGACAGCAGCTTTCTTCCTTCAAGGACATTTGTAAATCAGATGGGTTTTTTTTTCCTGACAATCAGCAATTGTTTCATCTTCAACATTAGATTCTCAATTCCAGAGTTTTATTGAATTCAAATTCCACCATCTGCCGTGGTGGGATTCGAATCCGGGTCCCCAGAACGTTATCCGTGTCTCTGGATTAATAGTCTAGCAATAGTACCATTGTGCCATTGCCTCCCAAAGTTTGGATCTGATCAAACGTACTCATGGAAAAATTATAAAATATTCTTAGGAAGACAGAATGATAATGAAATATTATCGGGGATATGCAGGAATCTACAGTTGAAGATAAAATAAGGTCAGCCATGATCTTATTGAATGGCAGAGCAAGTTCGATGGGCTGAGCAGCCTACCCCTGTTCCTTGTTTGTAACGTATATTCGTATATGCACGGGATTTTAGTGCAATTCCTTTGCAAGTCTGATAAATGTTACTTCAGGTCTTGCGTTTTCCAGCTTTGGTAATGTTGTAAGTGGGGCAATGGGGAGACAAAATTCAAGGATGATATAAGTTTCCAAGCATGAAGTTACAGTGATATGGCACTCTGGGCAGAGGCTTGGGACAAGTTTACAGTGAATTCAAAGCATTGAAAGTTGATAAAGTAAGTAAAGAGAAATACATGAAAGTGAGTGACAATTATAACAAGGAAAAATATGTTGTTGTTTCCCAATAAAAGACTTGATTAGCTCAGTTGTCAGATGGCTAGAATAATGCTAATGGCACAGTTTTGACTGTCATTCTGTCTGAGGAAGATGTCCTTGTCTTGGTCCTCTTTGAGGAAGGCAATGATAAACCAGCTCTGATATAAACTGCTACGAAAACAGCTCAATATGAAGCATTTGGAGACAATGAGCCTAGGATGTGCCTTTCGGTACAGCATCTTTCCATGGAATGGACTGACGAACCAGCTTACCCTCTTCAGGTAGGTCATTCTCCTCAGCTTCTCTCTCCATCTGCTGACACCATCCTTCTAATCGTTCCACTTCTGCCTGCAGTAACTTGATAAACCAGTCACCATCTCTGTGGCATGGAGATATTCTGCCAGGATCCGGGAGGCTGTGAACACTGGCCTCTCCCCAGTGGTCCTGGCGCTGGGCGTCTGCACTATCATAGCGCATTCGGTAATCCTCTTTGTACGCCCATTGTCCTTGTGTGTGAACAGTTCTGAATGAAGTGTACTCATTGGATTGTTCTGGCTCTGAGGAATGCCGCTCGAATGACTGGCCAAACTGAAAGCCTTTGTCCTCTGTGCTCACGCACAGACCAGGAATGCCCTCCAATTCAAGGTCCGCCTGAACACTTGTTGTCACACTGTTTGAACGCTTAAACCTGGCATGCCTAGGGAAACAAAATATAAATAATTAATATGCAAACTACAAGACGTTTTGGTATTTTATCCACTCCTATTTTCCACCCTCCTCTCCTGAAAGCGATGCCTGAAACAACAGTATAGGTTTGGATGCTGAAGCCATCTCTCCAACCACACTCCCCCACCCACAATCCCAACCCCACAACAACACCACCACCTTGCCTGCCTGAAGTCAGATGATATCTTCACGTACAAGTCTGGACTATGGAAAGTAGGATTGACAAGCCTGATCATCTTCTCACATGTACACTTTACGCCAGGTAGATGAGGAAGGGAATCCATATATTGCCTTATCTACTTATTTAGCCAAGAGGAGCTAAGAAAAAGCCATACTGCACAGTGTATTGATCCATTAGTTCAGCACAGACAAACGTCAGCTAAAACCTTTGTCAGTAAAGTTTAGTACTATGCCAGGCAGTGGTTTTTAGCATCAAGCCATTTTGATTTGCTGGTAATTAAGGAAGTAACCACAATAAAAAGACTATCCACAATAAAAAGACTATTCCCAGAAACATATGGGGCTGGATTTTTGTCTACCAATAGATGTGTAGGTTTGGTTGTGAAATGTTGAACCTCATCTTTTTTTTTGCTGGAGAAACAATTTTCCAGTGCTGTCCTGATCCCACGCCATCTTTGTGTGGCTCTTTGGTATGTTGGGAAAATCTTGGGTGCGAAGCCCACACTGACCTCTTCACCTTAGTAAACCTTAAAAATAAATTCCACCTCAGTGGAGAGCTCACGACCAAAGTGGGAGAGCTGGTCAGGAGTTAGGAATATTTTGAAGGTCACGAGTAACATGTTTCAACACCTTCTAATATTATGATGGGATGCTGTCATGTAAATGTGTTTTTAATGCAGTGATTTATCATCAGGATCTTTTCTGCAAACCTAGGTTGACTTTTCCATTGACTGGCCATGTTTCAGTTTATCAAGCGTTTCAGTTTATCAAGCGTTTCAGTACAATTCCAACGGCCTGTAGAGGCAAAATACATTTCAAAAAGGGGATGAGATTTAGGGGGCCTATAAACATTGAAACAGGAGTAGGCCATGCACATCCACAGCCCATCGAGTCTGGTCCACCATTCTATATCATGGCTGATCATCTACCTTAATGGCACTTTCCCACATTATCTCCATATCCCATGATATCACAATTCTATTCATTTCTGACTTGAACCTGCTCAATGAATAAGCTTTCGCTGCCCTTGCAGTAGAAAATTTTAAAGATTCACCACTCTCTGAGTTAAGAAATTCTTCCTCACTTGAGCCTTAAATGGCCAAACCTTATCCTGAAACTATTCCCTTAAGTTCTAGATTTACCAGACAAGGGAAACATCTTACCTAAAACCACTCTGGCCTGTCCTGTAGCAATTCTGTATTTTCAATGACATTGCCTCTCATTCTATGAAACTTTATAGATTAATCTGGTGAACCTCTGTCAGACTCCCTCTATAGCATGTATATCCCTCCTTCGATACGGAGACCAAAACTGTACAGAATGCATCGGGTCAGATGTCACCAATGTTCTATACAACTGCACCAAAGCATCTTCACTCCTGCACTCAAATCTTCTTGTGATGAAGGCCAATATGCCATTTGCCTTTCTAATTGCTTGTTGCGTTTGCACTGTAACCTCGTGACAGATGAACAAGGATGCCCGTGTTCCTTTGAATAGCAGCAAACTCCAACTTCTTACCATTTAAGAAATACACTACCCTTCCATTTTTTTTTACCAAAATGAATAACTTCACACTTATTCACAATAAGTTCTAACTGCCATGTTCTAATGTATTCACTGAGCCTGTTCAGGTTCTCTTGCTGGGAGCTGAGATGCTATGTTGGAGTAGGAAGTTGACCATTCTAACCAGCTGGGCTCTGCACTCCAATTCCACAGGTAGGTGTAGCTTGCAAAATGCACTGGGATCCCAACCCAGTGTGAAAAGACACAAATCCCGGGAAAAGGCACACGGAGGTCAGTGTACATTTCAGAAGGTGCAATAGTACGCGGGTCAGGTTTTCCAAAGCCCACTCAAAAATCTGGGCCATTCAGTTACAAAGAAAGCAGCTTTTACTTTCATTTCCATAGCATTCTCCCCATACAAATCAAATGATGTTGGTGCAGAGGGGAGGATGCTCAAGAATAAGTGGAGGGAATTAAAGAATAGTCAAAAAGAAAGCACACAAACGAATGTGATGATAAAGATCAAAATAACAAGACAGTTGTGCAGCAGAAGACAGTTCACCAGACTGGAATCTCGTCACTGGTAGCTAAAGGAACAGATCTTTTAAAACATATTGATGACATATGAGAATTGTTGACGAGATTAGCTTGTACTTTCAATTCCTTTAATGAGCTGGTGATGGTTAGCCACCTTGAAATGTTACCGATGTTGTTGCTCTGTATAACGGCTCTGTAGAACTGTCTAGTTCACCAGGCCACTTCAGAGAGCAGCTGAAAGTCAGTCACATTGTTGTGGGGCTGGAAATTCACATACTGGCCAGATCAGGTTTTCTTACCTCTCTACAGTCATTAATCAACCAAATGCTTATAACAATGCAATATGTTTTTGTTCACTTGACTGTTATCAGCCTTTTATTCCCCAAAAAGAGTTCAAGTTCTCAATTTACATTCCATGATCGTAGAATACAATCCCTACAAATCGACACCATCCCTCCAAAAAGCATCCCAGCCAGACCCATTCCCCTACCCCTGCATTTCCCATGTCTAACCCACCTGACCTAAACATGCTTGGACACTACAGGCAATTTAACACGGCCAAATGATCTACCCTACACATCTTTGGACTGTGGGAGGAAACCAGAGCACCCAAAGGAAACCCATGCAGACATGGGGAGAATGTGCAAACTCCACACAGACAGTCGCCTGAGGGTAGAATTGAACCCAGGTTCCTAGCGCTGTGAGGCAGCAGTGCTAACCACTGAACCACTGTGCCACCCTTTAGTATCATAGTCAGACAGTGGAACCTAATACTGAACTAAGAAACAGGAAGGTATCAGAAAAAGTGCAAAATAAAACAACAAGACATTGCTTTACAGGGAAGGTCATTGTGTCTGTGTTGTCAATTTGAAACAGCATTCCATTTTGTTCAAATTCCCTGCTATTTCCTCATAAGTTTTTAGTCTTCTCTTTAAATATTTGTAGACTCACTGTTAAAATCTATCATGAATTCTGCTTCCAATACATGTTTAAGGCCTTGTATCTCCAACAATCCCTTTATTCTTGGACTATGCTCTCTCGTCCAAGATTCTCCCATGAGGAAAAACATCCTCTCAGTACTACCCTGTCAAGCCTCATAAAAATCCTACATGTTTCAATGAGATCACCTCTCATTCTTCTAAACTCCAGTGTGCAGAATCCCAATCTGTTTAGCCTTTGCTCATAAGACAATACCTCCATACAGGGGTTATCCGAGCGAACCTTCTCTGAATTGCTTCTGATGAAGTGATATCTTTCCTTAAATAAGGGGACCAAAACTGTTCACAATATTCCATATGTGGTCTCACCAGCACCTTTGGCAGTTGCAGTAAGACTTCCCTACCCTTACACTCCAATCTCCTTGAAATAAAGACCCAACATTCGATTAGCCTTCCTGATGACCTGCTGCACCTGTGTGCTAGCCTTTTGTGTTTCATTTACAAGTATCTTCAATTCCCTTTGTGTTACAGTTTCTACAGGTTTTAATTTAAGTAATATTCTTTAGTTCATCCTTCCAAAATGAACAGCTTCATGTTTTCCCACATCATACTACATTTGACAACTTTTTGCCCATATATTTAACCTATCAAAATCTCTCTGTAGACTGTGTCCCTCTTGCAACCTGCCTTTCTACTTATTTTTATGTTGTCTGCAAATGTGGCTACAGTACATTCACTTCCTTCCTCCAAGAGATTAATATATATTAGGACAGCTGCGGTCCCAACACTGATGCCTGTGGAACTCTACTGGCCATGGGTTACCAACCAGAAAAAGAGTCCACTATCCACGCTCGCTATTTCCTGCCCATTAGCCAATTTTCTTTCCATGTCAATATATTACTACTAATACCATGGACTTTTATCTTATGACAACTTTTTATGAGGTACATTGTCAAACGTCTTCTGGAACTCCAATATAACACATCTACTGGTTCCCCTCAATCTGTTCCAATTGAGACTTCATCAAAAAACTCTATTAAATTAGTCAGAGATAGTAGGAACTGCAGATGCTGGAGAATCTGAGACAACAAGGTGCAGAGCTGGATGAACACAGCAGGCCAAGCAGCATCATAGGAGCAGGAAGGCTGACGTTTCAGGCCTAGACCCTTCATCAGAAATGGGGGAGGGGAAGGGGGTTCTGAAATAAATAGGGAGAGAGGGGGAGGCGGATAGAAGATGGATAGAGGAAAAGATAGGTGGAGAGGAAACCGACAGGTCAAAGAGGCGGGGATGGAGCCAGTAAAGGTGAGTGTAGGTGGGGAGTTAGGGAGGAGATAGGTCAGTCCAGGGAGGACGGACAGGTCAAGGGGGCAGGATGAGGTTAGTAGGTAGGAGATGGGGGTGCGGCTTGATGTGGGAGGAGGGGATAGGTGGGAGGAAGGACAGGTTAGGGAGGTGGGGACGAGCTGGGCTGGTTTTGGGATGTGGTAGGGGGAGGGGAGATTTTGAAGCTTGTGAAATCCACATTGATACCATTAGGCTGCAGGGTTCCCAAGCAGAATATGAGTTGCTGTTCCTACAACCTTCGGGTGGCATCGTTGTGGCACTGCAGGAGACCCAGGATGGACATGTCCACAAAAGGTTGTGAAGGTTAAGTAAGTGAACATATGTAAGAAAGAAATAAATAGATTTCTAATCACTAACGGCATCATGGGATATGGAGAGAATATGGGAGAATGACATTGAGATACAGGGTCTGCCATGATCATCTTGAATGGGGGAGTAGGCTCAAACGGCCAAATGGTCATCTCTT